GTCAATTTAGCATAAAACTCACCTTTAAAATGAAAATATTGAAGTTGTTTTGGCAAATTTACAAAGATGCTTAAAATAATAATACATGTTGAGTAGTTCCCTCAGATTTTAAATTAATTCCCTTAAAAAAGAAAACCATCAATCTATCTTTTGTTGGCTTTACATCACAATTTGTTTATGTATTTTTTTCATACTTTAGAGCAAGCAATAATAATCATCAAAATGACTTTAATAAACTGTATTGTCTTCTTACAATTTTTTAAAATATTTTCTTTTTTATGGATGTTTTCTTCCTTTTAAGTCAGTTATGTGTTTAGATTGAAATGTAAATAAATAGTGTGCAGAACATAAATTTAGCTAAACTATAGTTTTTTTCATACTTTCAAAAACTAAGCTGCATTGAATGAAGGCTTTTATAACACATTTGTTACCAATATGAGGTGAACCATGGCAATATATCAAACTTTGTTTTCCCCACAAACAAGAGAGACCTATTTGCTAATACCTAATACTCACATGCTAATAGCTGTTCTCTTGATAAAAATTTATTGTGTTTGGTGAGATCAGTCAGGGCTGTCCTGTTTTGTCTATCATATTGCTTTTTCTTTGATATCCATATTATTATTATTGTGTTAAATCCATTTTCAGGCTTTGTAATTCACTATTAAGTCATATAAATTGAAGCTATATCTCAATTTATCCACATATTGTCAAAATTAATAATAGTAGTTTTGGTATKTGAAATATCTCCCAATTTAACTTAGATTTTCCTACTGTTTTAATATATTTTATATTATTTGTTAAATCTGACTGCAGATCAGACTCAGGTCCTGYTTTCTCTTCCTGTTAGTGATTGAAGGCAGAGACTGAAAGAGAGCAGCACAAATTTACTCTGTGCTTTTATGAATGTAAACTGGCTTCAAATGTAAAACAAATAATACTGCAGGGAATTTGGAGAATTCAGGTATTTTTAGAACTTTTTGTTTCACTATTTCAGCAACATAATCTATAATTGTCAAAACTGTATGTCAATAACTACTGAACATTTTTAATCAACTTTAAATTCTTATCTCAGTTTGTAGATATTTTGTTTTTAAATGTGATATGTTGTTCTTTTTTTCCAACAACCACATACATGAATGTAAATGAGCAAAGCAGCTGTTCGTCGCCCACGCAGATACGCATCATGTCCAAGATCACACCGAAGTGCTCTCAGCTAGCATTGCATATATTAATGTGGGTTTTAGTAATTATCTTGTGACTGTTGAGCTTATAAATGAGCTTCTCACCTGTCTAATCAGTGCAGTAAACTGGCTGAGCCCCAGAAATGTGATACCACCCTAATCAATTACCACCTTGTCTGATTCAGTGCTGCCGGTAGCTGTCCTGTCTGCRTTTAATATCTCCTTCTTGTGCGAGTGCCGGCTGCCGCTGCCTGTCTGTGCCGACTGACCGACCCTCTCTGTCTCGCTGATGTATTGCACTCCTGGGGAGAAGCAGCATGTGATGCCTGTGGAAGTGAGAGTGTAATAATCACAGGATGATTGTGAGATTAATTAGTTTCGTCTTGTCACTTGTCTCCCCTGCAAAAATGGTGGAAAACAAGGATGTTGTTGACGGAACAGATTGCCACCAAGACGGAATGAGGAGGAGAGCTGAGCACGATCCAAGTGGCTCATTTACGATGTTTGTGTGTGTTTGTGTATGTGTGTGTGTGACTCAATATGAAAAGCTGCAGAGATATC